CTACTGAATCTGCCATCTCTGTTCATGTATATAGTGATGATAATAATAATGTATAATCAATCGTTGTCTGGCACTTTAAAGTAGATTGTAAGTTCTTTGAAGGCAAAGACCATCTTTTGCCTTTTTATGCCTGGTGCTTAGCACAATTCCTGGTACATAGTAGGTGCTTAATGAATACTTATGGACTGACAAAACCATTCTCATATAGTTGAGGCTCACAGGTGAGAAAATGAAGTTTAGAGAGTTTGTGACCTTACTATGGCCACACAGCTTGTTAGTGCCAGAGGTGCAATTGAAAGCCCAGGGGTCTCGTGACCCCAAGGCCAGCGTACTCTGCACTACCCTACACTGTGTCTTTTTTGTTTATATTGGTGGGATTTTTTGGGTTTAGTTTTGGCCCAGATTTGTGATTTGATAAACATAGGCAAACTCCCAAACTCAATCTACTGGTTACAAACCAGTGGCCAGAGACACTAAGAAGTTAAGTGATTTGCCTACAGTCCTGTACCTCAGAGGCAGGCTTGAACTCACATCTTCCAGTCCCTTTAATCAGTTGAATCTAAGAGCTCTAGCCCCCAGCCAGTGCTGCTCAGTAGCTATGGCTCTTTTCCCTGCTGCTGTTGAATACACTTTTGGTGATATTGATACTGGTTTATCCAGAGGTCGGGGTTCGAGAGAGGGTGTTGATGGAGGTTGTTTTTACAGAACCACAGGTTCTGGAAGGTGAGTACATACACTTCTTTCCAAATTCAGCAAATTTGAAGCAAATTCATCCTGGTGATTTGGGACTGGCCAAATTGGGTCCCACTCACTTGGCTCCTGTGAATGCTTTGAGAAGCTTTCCAGACCAGTCAATTCTTGTTGTTTTTGAGTAGGCTGTCATTTTTGTGCTCTTTGTCTAAGGTATCTTATCTCCCACCACATCATCTTATCTCTCTGGCGTGGTCTAAGAATTCCAGGCAGACCACGACCACAGGCTCCCCATGATATTTGGGCAATTCAGGCTGTGATAGTCTTGGACCAACATTCTTCCTGTCTGAATATTTTCTTCCTGTCTGGGGTATTTTTGTTACAGCTCTTGAGTTCGCAAAACGTTCTTTCTCCAAAAACATGTTCAAGAGAAAAAAAAATCAATAAACCTCAGAGCGTGGAAAAAGTCGGTCGGTTGGGTTTTGAGATGGGTCGTGGTTGGTGAGAAGACAGGGCACTCTGAACCTTCCCCTCCCCCTTCCCCAATTAGGAGAAAGACTTCTGGCTTTGCATATAAAACATTGTCTCTGTGGCCCTACAGAAATCAGAGACTCGGTGGAGCTATGTGAAATGGGGGCAATATTTAAGCTCTGGGGAATGGGTATAGTGAACTAAAACCCAAAGCTCAAAGTCAGGTTCGTGTTTGACATTTGCCCCTCCTTCTGTTCTCTTGCTGCCTGGTTTTTATAGGAGGACGTGTGTGTGTGTGTGTGTGTGTGTGTGTGTGTGTGTGTGTGTGTGTG